TTCTTCTTTTGAGAATTCTCCGTTTAGCTCTATAGCCCATTTTTTAAATTGGATTGTTTGGTATTTTGATGTCTAGTTTCTTGAATTCTTTATATATTTTGGAGATCAGCCCTCTGTCAGATGTGGGGTTGGTGAAGATCTTTTCCCATTCTGTAGGTTGTCATTTTGTCTTATTTACCATGTCCTTTGCCTTATAGAAGCTTCTCAGTTTCAGGAGGTCCCATTTATTAATTGTTGCTCTCAGTGTCTGTGCTACTGGTGTTATATTTAGGAAGTAGTCTCCTGTGCCAATATGTTCAAGACTACTTCATACTTTCTCTTCTTTCAAGTTCAGTATAACTGGATTTATGTTGAGATCTTTGATCCACTTGGACTTGAGTTTTGTGCATGGCAACAGATATGGATCTATTTGTAATCTTCTACATGTTGACATCCAGTTATGCCAGCACATATGTTTAAGATGCTTTCTTTTCTTATGAGATTCAATATTGTCTATATGTCAGATTCATTCCTCTATGGGTGCTGATCTTGCCTTTAAAGGTATAATTATCCTTTTGCATTGTAAATTAGCATTTCAAAAGTTAAAGATTCAGTTAGTATTTGTCTAGCTTCTGGGTTTGATATCATTCTGTTTATAGCTGAAGTCAATCTTTGTAAAAAATCAGTGAAGGTTTCTTTTGGGTCCTGTATAACTTTAGTAAATGACCCAGTTTTCTTTCCAACTTCTTTAATTCTGTCCCAAGCATTCAAGGCTGCTGCACAGCATAGAGCCAGAGTGTGGTCATCATATATAGACAGTCTTTGTACATCCAAATAATTGCCCTCTCCAAGAAGTTGGTCTTGGGAAATTTCAATACCTCTAGTCCTACTTCATGGTCCTAGCCTCATCTTTCCACTAGGTCCTCCACTGTAATTGAGGACCAGGTTGCAATACTGCTGTAACCAAGTCTTCCAAGTCTTGTGGGATAATTCTGTTACTAGTTGACTAAGAATTTAACGTCTGCCTCACAAAAGGTGAATGCATACCATATCAAACTATTGCTTCCTTAAGTCTTCTCAAATCTAACATTTTCACTGAATTCCAGTTAGCACTTCCATTGCCTTGGGGATACCTGCCACTTGGCAATTGTTCTTGTATGGTGACTGGATAAATTAAGGTTGGTTTCTTTTTTTTGATAACCTTGGGCTGTTCCTCTCTAATTTTATAATGTAATGGTGAGGTTAGTTCTCCTTACATTCCTTTGTCTTTGTCTGAATATCTCTATAATCTGTTTTAATGAGTTTTTTCCAAGGCTTGCAGTTTATCAGTCAATATTGCATTATTTTCTTTAGTAACTTTTTCTAAGGCCTGTATCTTGGCACTGATATCAACCAACTTTTTAGGGATAAAATAAGAATTACCAACCTGACAATAATTGTGATTGACATTACAAAAATCCCAGCTAAGTTAATTATCCCCTTATTAATTATGCTTCCTTCAAACCATCCTCCACTATAATAGAAATTAGCAAGGCAATTACACATAGTTTATATGGTAATTAAAAGAGGTTTATTTCCAGTGTAGCTTATAGCCACTAAGGGGTCAGCTACGGGGTCTGGGAGAGATGAGGTGCAGTCCAGCGTAGTTCTCTGGAGAACTCTGACTTGGTCTGCAATCCAGCCTACAGGTCAATGAAAAGCCAAGAGAGGAAGCACGTATGCATCTTGGGTCTTAAGGGGTCTTGTCTTGGTCACGTCCCAGGGGCAGGTCATAGGCAGGTGTGGCAGTTACTTGCTGCCACACCAGGGGCAGTGTATCAAGGCCAAAGCTGGAACAGCTACCCACTACACTCCACTGTAATTGAGGACCAGGTTCCAATACTGCTGTAACTTAGAATCATGCAGAGACCTAACTCCCTCCATTGTAATTTTGTTTCCCATATTAATTGTGGGGGAAAACCCTCTTTTCTCTAACTAATTCCCCCCTTTAAGAATTTCTAGTTGTCTTATCAAATCTGCTGACAATGACAGTGAAGTGTGAGACTGGCCGCAGGCAGAGAACACAGATGATGCACAGCCTGGCTGAGGGCAGCTTCAGCTGCTCATGTGTAGCTGTGAGCTGAGAGTGTATGGTGACTGCAATAATAGTAGAAGTCCAAGTGGGTGTCAAGGCAGCTACCTAGTGTGGCAGCAGCCTGAAGAGGGAGTCCAGAGGAAGCCTATAACCTACAGGGGCAAGGAAGCCAGTTGTCTGAAAAACAGGCACAGGGGATCCTGTGGAAGAAGCACATGTAGTGGGAGCTGCATGAAGGCAGAGCCAGTTGGTTGGTTGTGGGCAGGTAAGTCTGGCAGCATTTGGAGCCCAGGCACATGTGGAGTTTGGGTGGAAGCTGGAGACTGTTGTAGAGAGGTTACAAAAGGAAAATACCAGACTCACTCAGAGGGCTTGGAGAAGGAATGGAAAAGCCAACTGGTGGTACAATTACTCCTGCATGCAGCTCCTGCGTGCAGCTCCAGTGGGTGCCCTTGGCTGCAAAGCCATGGGCAAATGTCTATATCATGAATTCATGCCCCAAAAGTTGGATGCCAGATGAATAATTTTTTTAAAAGATTTATTTATTTATTATATATACAGTGTTCTGCCAGAAGAGGGCACCAGACCTCATTAAGGATGGCTGTGAGCTACCATGTGGTTGCTGAGAATTGAACTCAGGACCTCAGGAAGAGCAGCCAGTGCTTTTAACCACTAAGCCATCTCTCTAGCCCAGCCAGATGAATAATTAATCTAATTAATCTTTATCAATAAAAAATTGGGAGTCAAATAACAGGATAAGAACCTAAAAGACCCGAGAAGCAGGGAGCAGCCACCAGTCACCTCCTACCTCTTCTGTTCCCATGTCCAAAAGGGCCAACATCCTCTCCCTACCCTGCCTTACTCCTTCCTGTCTCCTCTCTGCCTACAGTCCTCCAAACCTCTATGGTTAATTTTGGTCAACTAGTGGCTGACTCCGCCTTCTGACTCCAAGCAAGCTTTATTTATCAGAACACAATCAAAATATCACACAACGCATGGGTGTAGGCAGCCATCCAACTACCATGAAACCACTGAAGAAAACTGACTCTCCCTGCACCAGCAGCCAATACCATTTCCCTTTTTTCTTTTCCTTTCTTTATTCTTTCTTTCTTTCTTTTTTTAGACAGAGTTTCACCATATAACTGTGTCTGGTCTGGATCTCACATGTAGACCAGGCTGACCTTGAACTCACAAAATCAGCCTGCATCTGCATCCCAAATATTTTAAGGCATTAAAGGCAATGAGTGGGATTAAAGAAAAGTACCACCAGACCTAACCATTTTCTGAATTTTAGGAAATTCCTAAATTTAGGAAATTTCTATTTTTATTATTATATGAAAGGTCTTTGTGCACTTGAGGAGTTCTGATACTGCTCTCAACATCTTAAATATAAGCTCTTGCAAATAAAAAAATCACTCATTTGCCTTTAATACATATGTATATATTTATACACATTATATATATATATATATATATATATGTATGTATGTATGTATGTATGTGTGTGTGTTGAATGCTTACTTCCTGTGTAAAGTGAGGACATGACTGCTCCAAGGTATGGTTGAGGGAAAGGTTTTTTATTATAGATAGGAGGTAGAGTACAGCCAGTGACAACTGGAAGCGTGGAGCAAGGAAAGAAGTAGCATATTGAACATGGCCAGCCGAGTGAAACAGGCCATGAGAGGAGAGAGGAAGACAAAGTGGGGAGGTTGCCAAAATGGTAGGTAGGAATGAGAAGCTGGGGGAAGGGAAGCCCATGAGCTGGAGAAGTTTAGGTAGGGGCAGGGTGAGAAGAGCTGAGAAGATCCACAGATCCTAAGTGAGCCTGGAGGCCAGCAGACACGTTGGTATGCTAGCAGACACCATAGCCATTTGTATCTTTCGGACCTGACACTTTCTGTATTCTTTCTTTGATGAACTGTTTAAAAAGAAATTTAAGATGTCATGATGCCTCACTCTTAAACACTTCAACCCATATCACCTCAGAATAAATGTGTCCTCCTAAACAGGCACAGGCTCTTTGCATACTGGGGAAGTTATGGTGAGTAATAAATTTTGTAGGAAGTAGGACTCACTCCCAGTGTGGCTTTGGGGCATACCGGTCACCTAGAGTCCTACACTCAGAATGACTGAGCATCCGTCCTTATCAGGAGATATCCAGATCCGTTTCCCAGGCCCCCGCTATTGCTCATACCACATCACTCACCCCCGCTTCTTGCCCCTGTCCTCCATGTGTTGTGTAGAAACAGTCAGAGTTGATGGTGGCTTCCAGGACTTGCCACGCCTGCCCAGTATCTCTCCTCTTCTTGATCAGGCTTCTCTCCAAGCTGTGCAGCATGACCATCTTCACTAGTGCAGCCAGTAAGCAAGAGACATTAAAGACTACAGAGGCAGTTCTCAGCCCAGAGGACTGTAGGGTTCTGGAGAAACACTCTCGTTTGTTTATTTATCGAGACAGGGGTTATTCTGTAGCTCTGGCTGTCTTCTTGCCTCTGTCTCCAGAGTGTTGGGATTAGTGGTGTGTGCCGACACTCCCAGCTCTAATTATTTGATTTAAAAATGGTTTCTTGATAAACTCCCTCTGTATTAGAAAATACGTATTCAAAATACTCAAAGCTCTTCATAAATAAGACATTCAGGCATTTCCACTAAGGAAAAGAAGTCTCATTACAGTGTTGAGCCACATAATTCTGCTTGTGTTTGTGCATGGATTTCTGTTGTCTTGTGTGTCTAGGAAACTCTAGCCAGATTGGGGGATGTATGTGGAAGAGTCCTCAGAACTCTTGCATGATGGGAAAAAAAGGTGTTGGTGGGACCGCGTTTCTGGAGTTGAGACCTAGAGTCATTGTTGTTCATGCCTTCCTTGTTTCATCCCTGTCCTGAAGGGTGTAGAATCGCCACTGCTCATCGTTCGCAATCTCTTGGGTAACTTTACTTTCAATTTCAGTCCTGCTGCAGTCTGTGATCTTGTGATCTTATATAAAGGAGGAATGAAAAGCAGAAGAAAGAGAAGAACAAGGGGCGAGCTCCAGGCAGGTGAGAACTGTGCTGGGACTTTCAGGGAAAAGATCCGGTGAGTTTACTTTACAAGCAACTGAGTGTTGACCTTGACTTAATCTCACTCACAGTGGCAACAGAGGCAGCAAGGGCACGTTGCCTGTGGTCTGGTCTTCAGGAATCTGTAGCTGGCTTTAATTCTGGGGTAGTTCAGTTTGTCCCCTTTGGCCAGTGACAGATGCAAAGTGGCAGCCAGACACTCTGAGGTCCTGGCATCCTCAACTCAGCGCAGCAGCAAGTGCAGTGGGGAGAGCCCTGGGTGGGAGACTGCCCACTTTGCCAGGCCCTGCTTTAGCTCTGGCCTACAGAAAAACACCATCCTTGCCAAGGAGCTAACAGGCAATTGTAATCTAAAGAGAACAGTTTTGTCTGTCTCTAAATTATACCCTACTCAGAGTAGGGTTGTAAAAATAATCTATTTAGAAATAAATTTAGTTCATATACCACTGAGTTTCACTAAGCAAAGTACATAGTCAAAATTGTCTTTGATGATGTATAGAATGTGATTACACACATACACTCACGCATACAATGGTGTATGCATTTTTCAATCTCTTTATCTTATTCTCATATATGGGAGTAAGCTGCAGAGAAGCTGATCATTCTTCTCAAGCAACTTTGCCTGTATTTGAATTCTCAGGATTCTGCACATTCTCCTGCCTTGGCATAATGTCCTCATAAAGGTCATCCACGTTGTAGCATGGAGTAGAATTTCATTCCCTTCTCTGACTGGATTATGTTCAATTGTGTGGGCTATCACATAATGATAAGTCATCTATCTATTGGTGGGAGATTGAGTTGTCTCCACATTTTGGGTATTGTGAATATAGCTGCCATGATCATTGGTGTTTAATGTCTGTCCAAGTCCTTGTTTGCAATTTTTCCTGTACTGTGTATAAACAAAAGTGGAATTGGATCCCATGTTATTATGGCTAATGTTATAAAGATAATGATACTGTTTTCCACAGTGATATTATCACTTCATGTTCCTATTAATAACACTGCAAAAGTCTACCTTTTCACATCCTGGTTCACATTCATTTATTCTTGGTTTTGTCCTATGTGGTAGCCATCCTAGTGGGTACAAAACGATGCCTGTGGTTTCCAGTGGCACTTCCTGAAAGCTGGGCTTGACAGACTATTGAGCAACAAAACGAACTGAGCCTTGAAATAACCCTTTTTCCCTTAAAATACAAACAAGCAAGACTAAATTTGATTTCAAGCAAATGCTTAGATTTGAAACAAGACTTAAGTCCAGTTAACCCTGAGTAGTCAATGCATATGAGACTCTGTGAGGACAGACTCTGAAACAAGCTCCCCTGCCTCCCCAAAAGAGGAATTTTATACCTGAATGGCTTCTTCATTTGGAATCCTCATTTTCCCAATGTCTTTGACATTTTCTTAATGGAAAACAAACATTTTATCTTTTGATCTAGTGTTCTCCAATTCACAAATTGAAATCATTTAAAAATAAAATTTTAAAAATTGTAATGTGCCTCAGACTTTCCATGGTGATTAGTGGCAAACAATGAACATTATATCTTGTGTTTATTGCCATTTGCAAACCTCCCTTGGAGAAATGTCTAGTGCCATGCTTTGCCCATTCTTCAGTTGAGTAGTTTATGATAGATTTAAGGAGCTCTTTGTTGAGATATTAATCCATTAAAATATAGGTCATATTTAATATTCCTCACCCATTCTTGGGTTGCCTTTTCACTCTGGATAGAGTCTTTCAATGCACAAACATTTTTAATTTTACAAAGAAGATTTTATCTGTTTATTCATTTGTATCTTGAGCTGTCAGTATCACATTCAAGAATGTGATCTCCTGAGTCCAAGTGAGGCAAAGCAGAGCAGAAACGTTAGCCCTGGGTTAGCCTATTATATGCATGCAGTTAAAGTCGTCTGTGCTCCCCGCAGACCAAGCATGTGCCGGGTTGGAGAGAGGCAGGGAAGGGAAGCAAAGATAGCCTGCAATTTCCTGCTGTTATGGTTGTGCCATCGTTTCAGTTGGCTATCTACACAGCTGCTACGGTATGCCAGTTGGTTTTCGAAGTTCCCTTAGTATCATTTCCTCATTTTAAAAGTCTGTTCATGGAGAGACCAGGGCTTAGAACCAAGGAGGCTGTCATTTTGCTTGTTTGTCAGGATTTTAGCACTCTCTATGAGTTGCTTACTTGGGATTTTAAAAACTCAGCAGTCTCATGTGCACTGTAGGTCTAAGAATATACCTTGCAGATACTTTTCCACTTCAGTGGAGTCACACACTTAAGGTATCCTTTGTATGGCTCAGCCTCTCGTAGGGCTCCAGGGCAGTTAACAGTCATTTTGGCTTTATTCTTACATTGTTACTCTGCAGACTACAGCAGTGAGTGTTTCAGCAAAGTGTCCTCAGAAAATTTGAAGAATGATGGGGAGTCCCCTGTAGCCCGCAGATGTAAGGTTACATGCAGACAGTGTAGAAGTCTCCCCAGTCTTAAGTTGTTGGGTGCTTGGGTAAGCTGAGACAGAGGAGCTGTAATTTTATTTGTGTCCAGAGATTCTCCTAGGTGGGCAAGTTGCTATGGCCAGTGGACCGAACATGATGGCCCCCATTTGTCTGGTGGAAAACCACAATGAGCAGCTGTCGGTGAACCAGGAAGCAGTAGAGATCCTAGACACAATTTCTCAGCCAGCAGTAGTCGTGGCCATTGTTGGATCGTACCGTACAGGGAAGTCCTACTTGATGAATCGCCTGGCTGGCCGGAATCACGGTGAGTGCTGCTAACGCTCGACTCCACCTCTGTCTGGTCTGCATCTCGTTCCCAGGCCTAACAGAGGAAGCTCAGCTCCTTTCAGCACAGCCAGCCTTTCATGCTGGCTTCATCACGAAATTACCACCCCACACTATCTATCCCTAATCCTTTCCTCACATTAAGAAAACATTCTCTTGAAAGTGTTCAAGAGGGTGTCTTCTCTAATGCTCCGAGCTCCAGGATCCTTTGTGTCAGCCCCCTGCCTCATACAACAGGTTTTCCTTGATCATTTCCTTAAGAATATAAGAATATTTGGCAAGATATGGTCTTAAAATATTTATTGGACTTCACAAACTTTTATTTATTTATTAATCACATTGGGTTGTTTTAGTTTTAGTCATTCTTTCTTTCTTTTTGTTTTTCTTCTGCCAGGGTCTCCCCTTGTAGTCCTAGCTAACCTGGAATTTATTATATAGATCAGGCTATCTCTGGACTCACATAGGTCCAATTGCCTCTACCTCCTGAGTTACGGAACTAAAGGCATGTGTTACTTTGTCTTGTTAAATATTTTGAATGTAAAAATATTAAGCCATTCTCCTTTTGACTCTCCTCTTACAAGCAACTCCCACTAACACATCATTCTTCCAAAGACTTTTATGTTTAAGAGCTAAGATTTTGCTATGCATCCCTGGTTGGCCTAGTGATAACCATAGTGCTCAGGCTAGTGTTGGACCAGTGGCAATCATCCTTTCTCAGCCTAAGTGCTGGGCTTATGGTAAGTGACACCTTATTGGCTTCAGAATACTGTATTATAGTTATCAGAGCCCTCTGTTGGCTGATTCTTGGATGCCTGTTTGTTCCATTTGGAACCTTTGTGTCACACCATTCTCATATTAAATGTCCCCTATAGTTTGAAATAGATGGCTAATAATAAGAGAATCTTGAGAAAATAGAGAAAGCACCATCTTACATGATAGAAATTCACAGTCCAAATGTGTGACTTTATAACACTCCTGCTTGGAGGATCTGCTGTTAGTGTCCATTTCATGTAGTTGTGACTGTATTTCCAGAAAGAACAGCAGAAGGAGGCAGCACTTATCTTGGCTCACAGTTTCAGAGACTCACTCCATTGTCCTTTGGTCCATTCACTCTGGACTCATGCTGAGGGAGAAGATGATGGCTGTAAAGCATTCGTAGAGGTGGTTCATGGTGGACAAGAAGCAGGGAGAAGGAAAACCCTGGGAGCCAATTATAACCTTCAAAGTCAGTGACCCAGTGACCTTCCTCCAGCTAGGCCCCAACTCCAAAGGCTCTCGAACCTCTCCGAATAGTGCCATCAAGTATTCAGCACATGAGGCTGTGGGAGACATTCCACCACATACAAAACAGAACACTTCACCTCTTCCCTCAGGCTTCCCTCTGGGCTCCACTGTGCAGTCAGAAACCAAGGGCATCTGGATGTGGTGTGTGCCACATCCCACCAAGCCAAAGCACACCCTGGTCCTCCTGGACACCGAGGGCCTGGGGGATGTGGAAAAGGTAAGGCTAGTGGTCAGGTTGGTCCCTTTTAGGTTATTTTTTTCCCTGTCTCTTTGCCGTTTGTAATCTGTTGTCATCTGTCTGTGAAGTCTGCAGCCTTAATTGTGGTGGCTGAGAGGACCCTGGTCTGTTGGATTTCACTTCTAGGAGAGATCAGACCTCATGCTATCAGCCAAAATACACTTTTGTTCCTGGACCTTGGAGTGAGTGATTTGATCCAATATATTACAGGTTAATTGAGCAGGTAAATTGTAGCTGGAGTTATCTCCAGTCCCGCTCAGACCCGCAGCCCCTCAGACCCAAATAAACACACAGACACATATATAATTTAAACCGTTTGGCCCTAATGGCTCAGGCTTCTTGCTATCTAGTTCTTACATCTTAAATTAACCCATTCCTATTAATCTATAAGTTGCCGCATGGCTTGTGGCTTACTGGTACCTTACAACTTGCTTCTCGTGGTGGCGGTGGCTGGCAGCGCCTCCTGACTCAGCCTTCCACTTCCCAGCACTCTCCTCTCTCCTTGTCCCCCTACACTACACTTCCTGCCTGGCCACTGGCCAATCAGCGTTTTATTTATCAGTCCATCAGAGCGGCGTTCACAGCGCCCCCAGCAGTGAATCTTGCTTTCAGCACAGTCTCCTGTGATCCTGTACATGGTGTGGGGTGAGGCTGGAGACAGGGGGCCCTTTGGGGAAAACTGGCCAGCCAGATTAGTCAAACCAGTGAGTCTGAGGTTCAGTGAGGGACCTTGTCTCATGGAATAGAGTAGAGGTTATCAAGGAACTAACTTCAAGCCTTCACAAGCATGCACACACATATGCACACATAATTTACATACACATCGTTCCCCCCATGGGAACATGAACACGCACGCACGCACGCACGCACGCACGCACGTACACACACCAGACTTGTGCACAAAAGAATAGCTTTTATAAACATAAGAACAGCAGGAAAAACAATAGTCCTCTGAAAAACATCTTTGTTAAATTTAATTAGAAATAATTAGACTCATGAGTTGCACTTATTGTGATATGTTATACTATAGCACATATTTATAGAGTAAGAAATTCCAACATCCTTCACTGAGCACCCTACTGAGAACCCAATACAGTGCTAGTTTTTTGTATGTTATCTTATTTCATATAATTGAGGAAATGAAAACATTGTAAATATTTGAATCCTCTCATAAACAAAGAAATTCTCCTCATAACTGCCAAAGTTGTTAATTGTCATTTATGCCTGTTATCTTTGAATAGGAAATACCGATTGTTGGTTGTTTTTATTTCACACTTTACTCTTTGGCTCTTTGGGGGCCCGGCACCCAGCTCCCAAATAAATCACACACAAGAAGTTCTATTCTTACTATGAATGCCTGGCCTTAGCTTGGCTTGTTTCTAGCCAGCTTTTCTTAAATTGTCCCGTCTACCTTTTGCATTTTCCTATTTCTGCAATCTTTCTTTCCTTCTTACTCTGTTGCTGGCTGTGTAGCTGGGTGATCGGCCCCTGGAGTCCTCCTCCTTTTCTCTTTCCTTGATCCTCTCCCCTCCCCTCCAGATCTCTCCTATTTGTTCCCTCTGCCTGCCAGCCCCACCTGTCCTTTCTCCTGCCTTACTGTTGGCCATTCAGCTCTTTATTAGACCAATCAGGTGTTTTATACGGCAAGGTAACACAGCTTCACAGAGTTATACAGATGCAACATAAAAAACGCAACACATCTTTGCATCATTAAACAAATGTTCCACAGCATAAACAAATGTAACACATCTTAAAATAATATTCCACCACAAACACCTTATCTGAAATGGTACATGAGAGACCTATAGACTTTCTCTGGCTCTCCCTCTCCTTCTGTCTTCCTCATTACTAGGAATTGAATGAGGGCCTTGCATATGCTAGGCACCTGCTCTACCATTGATTTATGTCCCCAGATCTTCATGTGCATATGTGAGTGTGTGTGTGAATTTACTTAAACCCATAAAGCCTTTTCATGTAAATATATAATACACGTGGGTCCTATACTGCATATTGCTCTCCCTGAGGCGTGCTCTCCTCAGCCCTCTGCCCTCCTGTGTCTTCCAGGGTGACCCTAAGAATGACTTGTGGATCTTCGCCCTGGCCGTGCTTCTGAGCAGCACCTTCGTCTACAACAGCATGAACACCATCAACCACCAGGCCCTGGAGCAGCTGCAGTATCCTTGCAGGACCTGAGCCGCCATGTTTCATTGAGTGCTCTGGAATGCATATGGAGGCACTGACCTGCCCTGTCACTGTGTGGCTGTTGGTGGGGCAGAAAAGTGTTTGTTGTGGTTTATTTTTAATAAGAGAATCATGAGAATGTGTGTATGAATTCACTTTTCCTTAACCGAATGCCAGTTATGTCACAGAACTCACCGAGCTGATCAGGGCAAAGTCTTCCCCAAATCCTGATGGAATAAAGAATTCCACAGAGTTTGTGAGTTTCTTTCCAGACTTCATCTGGACTGTTCGGGATTTCATGCTGCAGCTGAAGTTAAATGGAGAAGACATCACAGAGGACCAGTACCTGGAGAACGCACTGAAACTGATCCCAGGTACAGGGAACGCTGGGGTGGGAGGCTGGGAAGGGCTGGGATCTGCTGAGCTGCTCCCATCCTCTGTGGGGTCCTTTTGTATTTACAGTGGGATGGAGATCTGCAGGAACTCTGATAGGTCATTGGCTGATAATGCCTGGGAACTGGTGTTTAATTTCTGTTGAGAAAAGTAGAGCCTAGAGCACAGCAAAATTACTCAAAGTCAAGTTCTTTACAGTTTGTACTTTAGCATCTGGAGTAAAAAGCTTCTAAACTTCTCCATGTCCAGACATTTGTATTGCCTGTTTTTGTGTCTGCCTTCCTTTAAGAAATAGTTGGCTACATAATTCTTACTCATAAATTTATCATACATAGCCCATCTGAAAATATATTCCACATTGTTCTACATTTTTCTTTTCATGGAGGAACATAGCTTTTTAAATGATGGGTTGGTTATGTTGTCTGCAAAACAGCTGTGTGCTAAATAAACCAACAGACATGTCTTTTCAGTCTATGTCTTCTCAGTATCCATCATAATTCATCACAACAGTCTATTTGACAGTCATAGCCACCCATTTTTATTCATGCTACAGTGTCAGGATCTGTTATATTAATGGTATTTAAATGGCCTATCAACCATTTGCATGGACGTCATTAACCTGAGAGAGGAGCTGATGAAGCCTTATGAGGAATGCCAGCTCTCCTCTGTCTCCTTTTCCTGTCGTTGCTGTCTTGAAACGGTGGTAGGCAGAGCACCCATCTGTTAGGCACTGCAGTCCACATCTCACAGAGTTTCTGAAGCATCAGTGAAAACCTGAAATTCACAGTCTGGCTACAGTGGGTCATTGAGGCTTTTGATAAAAATAGCACTGTGTAAAATTTTAAAAATGAGTTTTATTGGATGCACTTGAAATTCATAAATTGATGTTCTAGAACACAGGTGAGTACTAAGGTAGACACTGTAAGTGATGTAGGTAACACACCTGTCATCACACACGGGTGAGGTTTATGATAAACAGCTAAAGTCGACAGTTTTACTGAGTCCTGACTTGGTGTTGCACATTGGCTCTCCAGTCCTCTGCATCCTGCATACGAGTCACTTAGTGCCGCCTGTCCAGCGTGGCCTCCTCCTTCCCAGCTCTAGTGACCACTGTTTTATTCTGTTTGTATATTTGCCTTAAAAATGAATTCTGTTTAGAATCAAAGTATTTTTCCTTTGATAACCATGGCATTGTTCTTAAAATCACTAATGTTGCTATCTAATACTCTATTACCCTTTATTTGTGGCTCTTCTTTTTTGTGTGTGTGTTTTATTTTTTTAATTTAAAAGTTTTGTTTTTTTTTTACACAATCAAGCCCAGTTTCCCCTCCCTCCGCTCCTCTCATTCACCCTCCACCTTTTCCCCACCCTGCCTCCCATCCACTCCTCAGAGAGGGTAAGGTCTCCCATGGGGAGTCTACAAAGTCTGGCATATCAATTGAGGCAGGACCAAGTCCCTCCCCTCATGTATCAAGACTGAGCATGGTATCCCTCCATAGGAAATGGGCTCCAAAAAGCCAGTTCATGCACTAGGGATAAATCCTGGTCCCACTGCCAGTGGCCCCACAAACTGCCCAAGCCACACAACTGTCACCCACATTTAGAGAGCCTAGTTCAGACCCATTCAGGTTCCCCAGCTGTCAGTCCAGATTCAGTGAGCTCAAACTAGCTCAGGTCAGCTGTCTCTGGGTTTCCCCATCATGATCTTGACCCCTTTACTCATATAGTCCCTATCCCCTCCCTTCAACTGAACTCCAGAAACTTGGCCAAGTGCTTGGCTGTGGGTCTCTACATCTGCTTCCATCAGCTACTGGATGAAGGTTCTATGATGACAACTGGGGTTGTCTAATGGGAGAAATCCACAGAGTGCACTTTAGGGGCAAAGAAATTTATTAAGAAAGAGAACTCACAAGACAAAATAAAGGAATTTGTTGCAGGATCCTGGAAGGGTGAGGCCATGGTCCAATGCTGTTCTCTGGAGAGCTCTACCCTGGCCTGTCCCGGCATCCAAAACCATGAGGTATCAAAGAAAAAGCCGCATATGTGCATCCTAGGTCTTAAGGGTCCCATGGTCATGCCCCAGGGGCATGTACCTCAGGGTCATAGGTAGGTATAACAGTTACCTGCTACCTCCCTAGGGGCAGTGCTTCAGGGCATGGTGAGAACAGCTACCCACTACAACTCCCCCTTTTATCTAAATAAGAAAGTTCTAACCTAACATGAAACTATATACAATAGGAGTGATTATTAAGTATTGTACAGGAGAATAAGGGGTAATGACCCAAACAAATGGGACCACAACCAACAAGAACAACATCAAACAAGAGACACATACATACTAAAATCCAGAGATGTCTAAAACATAGGTAAATGGCATGTTACAAAGATTATTTCAAAAGCTGTCCTATCCTGAAGAATCTGAATCTAGTACTTAGTATATTCTAGTTAAGGTACAAGAAGATTGTAACTGTAACTATTAGTCTTCAACCCCACCAAAGACTTGAGAACGAATATAATAATACCTGAGAAAATGGGAAATGCACACAAGCAACTTTTGGAAATCTTGCAAGAATAGACAGAGACAGCTGGCAGCCTAGACAATCACCTAGTTTCTCAGCACTGTTGGGGCATCCAATTTGGCTCAGGCCTAGAATATCTGACAGACCATTTTCAGAAGCAGGTATTTTGAAAGACCATCTTACCCTGTCTCATCAGAGTTCATTAGTCGCTTTTCCTTGTGTCCTGCTCATCCAGAAAGGACAGCATTCATACTGTCAGCAGTCGAAGCAAGGGCAGCTCTTTGCCCAGTAGGCCATTATGCACCAGGAAGAAGAAAAACTTCCAATTGGAGTGTCTTAGAAGCCCAGCATTCTCTCTGGATCAGGTCGGTGCTGCCAGGAGCAATTGTGTCTCACATCAGTAGAATTCTAAGTTATTTAAATGCCATATTCTCTAGGTCCATGAAGTGTTTGAAGATAACCTATCCATCTGACCTATGTAACTGTAAATCTGGACAACCTAACTAATGTAACTATAGAGATGACAAGCATTTGACTATAAATCTGTAAGTCTTATCTACCTAAATAACCTAAGGACTAAGGCTTCATACAAACAAGGTAAACAGCCTGTAAACAAATGTCCAGTAAGAGGACAATGACCTCAAAATTGTGACAATACACAAAATATCTTAAACAGAGGTAGAAATGTATAGTACAATATGCAATATGACAACAATCCTAAATATATATCAATATACAAAATATCCTAAACAGAGGTAGAACATGCATACAGTATGACAACTATAATTTTACAATTGTGTCAATATACAAGATATTTCAAATAGGAGTAGAAATGTATGTATAATACAACAAATATAATTCTGTATTTATATCAGTATAAAATTATCTTAAATAGGAATTGCTTCCTGATATTTAGGGGGCAATGATATCTCTGTGGGGTCCTGTAAGAAAGCTCAGATAGTTAGGTTTCAGTAGGACTAGCCATAGATTCAGCAGCCAGTCTCAGAGTAATGGGTAAGGTTGTCTAAGATTCTGGCTAGAGATGTAGTGTGATGGACCATCTCATCCTGGAACTGTCATGAAGAGTTTCCAGTACAAAGCTGATCATTGAGTAATGTTCATGGGTACCATGGCATGTACATCTGAACACAAGAAGAGGGCATCAGGCAGTTGTGAGCTCAGTCAGTAGAGCATGAGACTCTTAATCTCAGTGTCGTGGGTTCCTGATAATGGGAGAAATCCATGGAGTCTACTTTAGAGGCAAAGGAATTTATTAGGAAAGGGAACTCACAAGACAAAATAAAGGAATTTGTCACAGGATCCTGGAAGGGTGAGGCACGGTCCAACGCTGTTCTCTGGAGAGGTCAGCCCTGGTCTGTCCCAGCATCCAAAACCATGAGGAGCGAAGAGGGAGCTGTGCATGTACATCCTAGGTCTTAAAGATCCCAGTGGCCATGCCCCAGGAGCATGTACCTCAAGGTCATAGACAGGTATAACATTTACCTGTTACCTCACCTAGTACATCAGTCATCAATCTGATTACAGGGGAAGGCCAGTTCAGGAACCCTCCCCACTATTGCTTGGAGTTTTAACTGGGGTCATCTTTGTGGATTCCTGGGAATTTCCCTAGCACCAGGTTTCTCCCTAACCCCATAATGGTTCCCTCTATCAAAATACCTCTCTCCTTGCTCTCCCTCTCTGTCCCTGTCCCAATTCCACCATCCCATTCCCTCATGTTCTCTTCCCACCTCCCCTTACCTCCCAATTTACTCAGGAGATCTTATCTATTTCCCCTTCCTGGGGGGGATCCATGCATGTCTCTCTTAGGGCCCTCCCTGTTACCTAGCTTCTCTGGGCTTGTGGATTGTAGCCTGGTTATCCTTTGCTTTATATCTAGAATCCCCTTATGAGTGAATACATACCGTGTTTGTCTTTCTGGGTCTAGGTTACCTTACTCGGGATGGTTTTTTTCTAGTTCCATTCATTTGTGTGACTTTTCTTTTGAGTCCCACTGCTCCTTTACTACAAAGGAATGATTGGGCCAGAAATCACATTCAGCCTTTTGCCTTTCAGTCAACAGGACACACAACTACAGTAGGCTTGATGCCATGTTCAGGTTGTGGATTTCAGCCATATGCTCTTCCAGTGGAATCAAATGTCTCCTGAAATATTTCACCAGACTTCTACCAAGTACAAACTTGGTATACTTTTGACATGCAAAGAAGTGTTGCATGTTTATGGTAAAGAGACCTGTGAGTGCAGAACCCTTCACATAGACAAGAGCCTCCATCATTTGCTCTCTGCTCTAAGACTATTCCCGTTGCTTACTCTTTCCCCCGACACTAGGCAACAATCCCAGAGTCCAAGCATCCAATTTGCCCAGGGAGTGCATCCGACATTTCTTTCCTAAACGGAAATGTTTTGTCTTTGACCGGCCAACGAATGACAAAGAACTCTTACAAAAAATTGAGACTATCTCAGAAGACCAACTGGAGCCTAAGTTCCAGGAACAAACGAGGGCTTTTGTTTCTTACGTCTTCACCTATGCAAAGATCAAGACCCTCAGAGAGGGAATTAAGGTCACTGGGAACCGTGAGTGTTTTTATCACACTTTTGTATAGAGTAATGTATATTGAATATATTAAAATATGTATGTTATTTTTATTGATTCTGTACACAATGATGGTATGCATACATATGAAGAAATGTATATATTTTATAATTATTCACTGAGGATTCAATACCTTCAAAACTGCGATCTTTTTATCTGGGATCTATGGCTTCCACACATCTGAAGAAACTCTCAACTGATATTATTATTAAGAACACTAAAGTAGATATATACTGTTTTTATAGGGGAGGTCTTCTATATTAATTATTCTTTGAAATGAGAATGTGAAACATTTTTTTGAAGTTTAAAGTATCTCCAATATAAGTACCAGTGTTTAAGTCCCTGCAAACCCACACTTTAGAGTTAGCAGTAAACATGATCTGCTGTAGGTTGTTTCATTAGTCTACTTGTCTAATTTATTTTCTATTAAAATATTAATTGGTAAGTTACATTTCCCAAAGGCACCTGAATTTATTAGACAAAGGTGAATTTTTTAAAATAAATTTTTAAAAAATTCACTGTGGACTGGAAAAACCATAAAAATGAAGGGCAAATAAAAAAGAAATTGATGGCTTAAGGATATGTATATATGTATTATTTTCAATTATATGTATGCATGTGTCTCTGTGTGAGTTATGTACAAATAAATGCAGGTCTCCATTGAGGCCAGAAGAGGCCATTGGATCCTCTGAAGTTGGAGTTACAGGTTATGGTGAGCCACTCAATGTGAGTGCTGGGAATTGAACTTGGGTCCTCCGCAAGAGCAGTATATGCTCTTAACTTGCTGAGTTATCTTTCTAGCTGAGAGATATGTAGTGTGCGCGCGTGCGTGCGTGCGTGTGTGTGTGTGTGTGTGTGTGTGTGTGTGTGTGTGTGTGATTTTCAAAACACAGTCTCAGAATCTTAGATCCCATTAATTTACTTCTCCTAAAACTCCTGGCTCGTGAAGGACTGGGAACCCTGGTGACGACCTACGTGGATGCCATCAGCAGTGGAGCTGTGCCTTGTCTGGATGATGCGGTGACAACTCTGGCCCAGCGTGAGAACTCAGCAGCTGTGCAGAAGGCAGCTGACCACTACAGTGAGCAGATGGCCCAGCGACTGAGGCTCCCCACAGACACGCTCCAGGAGCTGCTGGGTGTGCACACAGCCTGTGAGAAGGAAGCCATTGCTGTCTTCATGGAGCACTCCTTCAAGGACGAAAACCAGCAATTCCAGAAGAAGCTGCTGGTAATGTTTTCATCATTAACTATCATGACTGTACCCCTTCAAGGCTGTAGCGCTACCTTCATTGACCACAGGTGTGTCCTATTCAATGAGACGCATGCTGTGTGCTCAGAGTGAATGTAGTTGCAAAAGTACATAAACCCTTCCCAAACCTCAGATACTTTTAACCCAGAAATCTCTTTAAGGGTTGGAAAAACAATACAGACTTCTTAATACTTTTGGTGGGTTCAGTCAATATGTCTGTGGATTGCAATCCCACCCCAAAACACTCACAGCTCATCTCCGAGCCAGTGACATCTTCTGAACAAACCCTCTCATTCTTAGGAAACAAAGTTCCTTGTACAAAAGTTTCATTGCTGGTATCTCCTAGTATTCATTGTTGTATCATTCATCGTTACAATAGAACCACAGGATGTGAAGGCTGCAGGAATCAAGAGATTGAAGGATGCAGCCATCCTTTAACAGAGAGTCTTAGTGATCAGGACAGTCGTGTTACCCATTGCTTTGTGCAGTTTTAAGATTCTGAATTAAGTCAGATTGAGATTATGTCTCAGATTGATTCTGAGTCTCATTAAACTAGAATGCTTTCTCATGAGAAATGACCGGCCCTTTGATGAGTCGTTGGAATCGTATCTTCTCTGTTCCTTCCATCTCATTTCGCCTCTGTTCATTTTCCTTACAGGAATTAATAGTGCTCAAGAGGGCAGATTTCCTATTGAAGAATGAAGAGGCATCGGAGAAATTCTGCCAGGAAGAACTGAGTCATCTTGCGAAAGCACTCACAGAAAGTATTTCAGCAGGGACATTCTCCATCGCCGGAGGACACAGGCTCTACATGGACACCAGGGAGAAGATTGAGAAGGACTATTGGCAGGTGTCCAGGAAAGGGGTGAAGGTGAGGAGCAGGGAGCACAGGAGCTCAGAGCAGAGGGAAGGGGGTGTCGTGAAGCCTGAGCACACAGCACAGCCTGAGAGGAAGAAGAAAACCTGAGGATAGCATGGTACCTTTAGCTTTATGTTGGTGCTGGGACCAAAACCAGGGCTTTGCAGTGTGCTCTCCCCTTAGCCCATCCCTGTAAGCACACAGAGCTCTTAATGGCTGCTATTTACTGCTTATGCCTGAAGACGCTCACTTCTAAAGAAAGAACTCCAGGAGAGGCAGAATAGCAAATTAATAACACTTGGGTGTTGAGGTGCTAAGTGCTGGCAATTTACAAGGTACACAGGTCTTAGTTCTCAAGATGGATCCATGTGAAAGTCAACTAAATAAGTGATTTCATTCTGAGTGATAACTTCATGGTTCTGTCAGAATGGTCTACCTATGAGTGTCTTAGTTAGGGGATTCTATTGCTGTGAAGAGACACCATGACCATAGCAATTCTTAGAAAGGAAAACATTTAGACATTACAGTTTCAGAGATTCGGTCCATTATCATCATGGCAGGAAATGTGGTGGCTGGGTATATGGTGGTGTGCAGGCAGACATGGTGTTGGAAAATTCTACATCTTGCAGGCAATAGGAAGTGAACTAAACACTGGGTGGTATCTTGAACATATATAAGACCTCAGAGCCCACCTCCACAGTGACACACTTCCTCCATCAAGGCCACACCTCCTAATAGTGACATTCTCTTTGGGGGCCATTTTCTTTCAAACCACACCAATGAGGTAGTAATAAATGTAAGAACACAACTAACATACTACTTGGTTATTGCCAGTGACACAATGGTGAGTTCTTTCCTTAGACCTTTCTTTAGTTATCTAAAATGCTTTGGATGATGCCCACCATTATTGAGGACAGTTTTCACATCTGAACCAAAGAGGCCCAGGCAGGTGAAGTGACTTGCCCATGAATACATCCAGCAAGAGCAGAAGGAAGTGAAGCCCACACAATTATGTAGCATTGTACATTGGGATACACTATTTGAAAGCGTCATAGGTGGCAGTGAGCACATCTGCACATGATGTGGACAGGCTGGATCTGGGAGCAGGTGGAGGCAGGTGGCACTAGTGAGGATGACTGGGAGAGCCGTGGATCAGGAAGTATCTAGTTCCACTGAAGAGCATGGGCAGTCTGCAGGCTTCGCCACAACATTTTAACAGTGAGGCACAGTGGAGATTGTGTTCACCTGCATAGGTACTCCCCCAGGACTTATCGAGGTTCTGTGCTCCTTCTTGGTTGTGCAGGCAAGTGAAGTCTTCCAGAGCTTTCTGCAGTCACAGGCCACCATTGAAAGGTCCATCCTGCAGGCAGATACAGCCCTCACTGCTGGGGAGAAGGCTATTGCAGGTAGAGGAGCATGTGTCTTGGCTTTTGGGAGGGATCAGATTCCCCAAGGCTTCCTGACAGAAGCCCTAGTAAACCCATCCCCAGATTAGCAGCTTTCTATCCTTCTGTGGATGCTCACTCTGAGAAGAACAGAAAGTCTGGTCTGTGTTTCAGCCAGATGGGCAGGGGCTCCTCCATCACCCTAGGCATACTCTCTCCATGGCATGGACCAGTGTGGAGTCTGTGGCTTCCTTTCAGATTTGATTTGCTCTCTGGACTCTGGAATGTAGATGTTCTGCTTGACCCATCACTTTCTTCCCCCAACCATCCTGAATCTCCATCACTTTCTTCCTCCATCCATCCTGAATCCCCATCACTTTCTTCCCCATCCATCCTGAATCTCCATCACTTTCTTCCCCCACCCATCCTGAATCTCCATCACTTTCTTCCCCCATCCATCCTGAATCCCCATCACTTTCTTCCCCATCCATCCTGAATCTCCATCACTTTCTTCCCCCACCCATCCTGAATCTCCATCACTTTCTTCCCCCATCCATCCTGAATCTCCATCACTTTCTTCCCCCATCCATCCTGAATCTCCATCCCTTTCTTCCCTCCCTGAATCTTCCTGGGACAGAGGAGCGGGCCCAGAAGGAGGCAGCTGAGAAGGAACAGGAGCTGCTAAGACAGAAGCAGAAGGAGCAGCAGCAACTGATGGAGGCTCAGGAGAGAAGTCACAAGGAAAACCTAGAGCAACTGAGAACGAAGCTGGTGCAGGAGAGAGAGCAGCTCATCAAAGACCACAAGACGATGCTGGAGAAGCAGCTGCAGGTGGGTCTCCTCATCGCCCTGGTGCCCGTGCTCTTGGGTCCCCAGGAAGGAGGGGAGAAGGTTACAGCTGGGTCATGAGAGGAAACATCATTGCTATGAGTTATTGTTTGGGACTCATAGAAAGACCCCAATGTCCCTTTTTCCGTGATGTCTTTGATTTTTGCTCTATATTTAGATTCTGGGCAATGCAGGTATACATGGCTGCAGCTGGACACTGCAGGATGTTGATAGCATTTGAGCTTTTGGTGTGAGAGATTTTAAGATGATCTCATGAGGATTCACTAAACACACTTTAAGCAGGCACAGGCAGTAAGAGTGGCAGTCAGTTTGCCTTGAGGCCAAGGTTATCCGGGGCCCACAGACTCTCAGGATATTCTATGACATAAAATGTCTGAAATCTCCAAGGAATTGTGTAGCAAACGAAAGCTTCTGAACTTGGCCACTGCTATCTCTAGGGTAGATAGCCTCTTTGAGTTGGCACAGGGAATTCAAATGACTCTCTTACTGTCCATCTGCAAGTTATGGGATGCAGTCCTTAATCAGCTGGTAAGCTACCACCTTGTCTGCCTTGCTAGCCCAGCAGACTGAGAATGATCTATGCGAGCATGGTAGCAAAACAGTAATGGTGGGGCAGTGTTAGTCGTTCAAACTGTGCTACCTCCAATACACGGTTCCAACTCAGACGATGTTGTTTGCACTATATTATTTTGGTAACTGAGAAATCATTTCTCAGAGTAAACTAAAGACAGTTTGACAAAGATCTTAAACAAATTATACCTTTGGGATTGAAAAAAATCTTCATTTCTGTCTCCACTTTGACTTTCTTAGGCCCAAAAGGCATTGCTTGCTGAAGGATATAAGAAGAAATCTGAGGAAATGAATGCAGAAATAAATAATTTGAAAAATAAGCTTGAGAGTATAAAAAAAGAGAGCACTTCGTTTTTGGAGCAAACCCTCAATGCCTTTGCTACAGTTCTCTGTGCTCCTATTGTATTGGCTGTGGAGGTTGTAAAAGGCATTGCTGCGCTGTTTTGAGATTCACTTCTCTGAGAAAATGAGACTGTGAAGATGTGTTTTGTCCTGTTCTTAAGATGCACATTCATTTTCATTCAACAAAGTTTTAAACATGAAACTACTTACTCAGTCTAGAACATTAGTGTCTGGCTCATATTCACCTAGACATATTCATGTATGTTTTGATAGATGATGTTTGCAATATCATATGGAAGAGATCCTCTGAGTTGTCACTTGTTACAGTGACAAATTTAAAATTACTTGAATGTCATTGATTAATATTGGCAACATAAACTTTAATATGTGCCAACTACTTAGTCAGGAAACACCATCTCGGTGGGGCTTCTTTTGTTCTAATATTAAATTGAGCTCAAAGATACTTTATCAAACAAAATATTTCAAAACACCACGCAACTATTCCATGCAAACACACAGATGCATTAATGCAATGGTTTCTGAAAGATTCATGAGAACCTGGACTCTGGCTTCATCTGTAGAGACCATGAGACCACAGGAGTTACTGTGACAAATGTATCCATTAAATCCTCAATCCAACCATTCAAATTTTATAAACAATGCTTGAAATAAATGCTATTGTAGCTTGATATTGATAATGATGGTCATGTTTGTGATGGCATGTTGAAATTTCTCACTGTTTCTAAAAATGGCAGGAACCTGCTACATGTGGCAATTTATTCTAAGTTTTGAATACTAGAAAGCATGGAATTTACACCCTAATGATGTTTTATATCCTAACTGCCTTTAAAAACAAATCCCTATAAACTGAGGACTCAACTTTGTGGTGAGTTTTGACATCTGAGTGAGGGGAACCTCTACTTTCTGTCTCTAAATTCCCTATGAAGTCATTACAAGCACAATGACCACAGGTCCAGGATGTGAACTGTGTAAAGGTTCCTGAGGTTGCTGTAATTTAGGTGGCAATTTCTCTGTGGTGTCCAAGAGAGAGGGAATCATGCCTTTTCAGAACTAGACACTTTGATGGGGAACAAGATGGCAGTCATAGGAACACTAAGAAAAGTGCTCGACCAAATACGTTGGCTGCTGTGACCTTGGCAATTTACCATGTAAGATTCTATAGTAGGCCTTGTGAACATTGGGGATTTCAGTGTGGCTGAAGTGTCTCTGGAAGAGTGGAGCTGTAAGAGCTGAGGGGTCAGCTTGCTGGGTTGGCCATTCACATGGACGACGAAGTCTGCAAACTACAGTGACAGTGATGGGAAGGCAGGCGGGGCAAGGTCTAAGGTCAGTCACCAGTGAGCGGGGAGCAAGTACAGTGGCTGTGCTAGGATAGTGTCAGCAACGCAGGGTAGACATAAACAGAGATATTTCACAGAGGAATGAGGAGAAGTGTTTGGGGTGTGAGAAAGCAAAAAAGAGCTCATGTTTCAGGAATCTTTCTGGAATAAATACTCAGACACCAGTGAGAGTGGAAGAGAGATGTTGCTTGTGGAACAAAGCCAGGATACTTCTGAAAGGCTTTGATTCCAGGTCCAGTTTACAGCCTGATTTTATACTCTAAACCAGAAATTAGGGTGGGCAAGCAAAGAAGATTTCGCAGAAGCGTGCATAGAAGCCAGAAGGTTGCTAAGGGCAATGACTCATTTGTTTCAGCTGTTTCTCCAGGTTGCCAGTGAGGTCATGCTTGGCAAACAGGCAGTACAAGCAGCATTACTAAACATGCCACTAAGTCAGTATCTAATAGTTGGTCTTTTCTACCTTATTGTATGGAATTTCCTTCTCTTCATCAACCCAACTCCTCATGAATCTGTCTTGAACAAATGAGTTGGCTCTCCTGACGTATCATCTGCATTGTTCTCCCATGGCTTTCATTTGTGTCTTTAGCCTTAATCCTTTAAATACATTTCTGGCTTTTTCTCATACTATTCCTGCCTGTGTGGTATAAGACAGCATTCCTCATTTCCAACCAGGCACACACCTTTCTTCTCTGAAGTACTCAAGTCTCATCCTCTCCGGCTTTAGAGGGCCATCGCTGCCAATTACTCTATTTCATGCTGAAGAGTGATTATGCTTTCCTGAACAGCAGTTAAGTGTTTCTTGATCTGTGTGGAGAGCTATGTTGAACTTGTTGGATGCCTGCTGCGTGGGCACCAGTGGTCATGGACGCTGTCAGGGCCATTCTTGGCAGGACTGGTGAAAGTGCTCTCACTAGTGTTGGAGAACTTATTCCAGGAGGATTCCCACAACACTCCTACCTCATGTTTAGGTTCCAAGATGTGAAAGAACTCAGAATTTATAGATGGTTGTCAAGGAAAACTGTAGTCGAACTTCTTTTGGGTCACCAGTTCACAAATAATGACACAGAGACTTATTATTATTATGAAAGCTCAGCTTATAGCTTAGGCTTGTTCCCAACTAGCTCTTATAACTTAAATTCACCTACTTCTATTAATCTACATTTTACCATGTGGCTTTTTACCTTTCTTTCATTCTGTATATCCAACCCCTCCATGTCTCTTTGGCATCTCCTGCCTAGTTATTATCCGTTTAGCTTTTTATTAAACCAACCACAGTGACATATTTTTACACAGTGCAATCAAATATCTTGCCACAGAAAACTATCAGTGGACCAGAGGTTCCAACTGTAGCCCAGTCTGGAGCATCCATAGAAAAGAGTGGATGGAGAGAAGTCTGCTAATGATAGACAAGGTTTTCTCAAGGTGCCGAAAAGCATTTGTTTGTAAAGGTAGCAAGGCTGGGTAGGAGCCTGGGGACAGCTGCAGGCATCCAAGATGAAGAAAATCATGAGTGAGTGTCTGTGTACAGTAAATGATGCCTGGGCTCTGATGGTGACAGTCCTGAGCATGAATGAGGGACTGGCAGACTGTGCCAGAGCTACAGGCTACAAGGTGATTAGTCTTTTCTCTGTGTCAACCTCTTGTGACAGAAAGCGCCCAGAAGATCGAAGACCACAGGATAACTAGTTTCTTCTAATGTGGAACCCATGCATAGAGAAGGAAGCAATGGCAGAGTCTGAAATATCGCTCTTCCCTCCCTGCAGGGGACGATGTCCAATGAAGTCACCATGGAAACCACTCTGTCACCTCTTTGGTATATTTTCTGAGTATCCATGAACCAATTTGTTGCCACCTCCATCACATGCAGACACACAATCATATTAAACTTACAAAAGTGCACTTTAAAGGAGATTTGAATTCAGTCATTTAATAAATATGTCCTTCCTTTGATCATGTGCTGCTGTGCAGGACACTGGGAAGGTGCGGAGGATCACATGGCTACACCATGGCTATAGTTCCTGTGCCCAGAGCCGTAAAACAGATCACAGTAGCAAATGTATACATGAAATTCCTTGAGAGCACCGTGAAAGAATACAGGGTCCACCAACAGTGTAGAAAGAGAGCTACAAGTGGTTTAGTCAGTGGGCCTTCCCTGGGGAAGTAATGATCCAGACACATTTTTACTAAATGCATAGCTATTCAGGAAATGCAGGAAGCAAGCTCCATGTGAGAAAAGAGAATGTAGTTGCCCTGTCCTGCACAGGTCTACGGATTGGACTAACCTGGGCAATGAGGGAATGAAGAAAGGACAAACAGACACACAGTAAAGCTGGGATCAGGTGGGCTGGGCTCCATGATGGAGAAGCTGTAGCACCCAAGAGGATCTGTGTGCTTATTACATATAGTAGAAGAAGGAAGCATGGTTATTACATACAGCTGAACAAGGAGGCGGGGTTATTACATACAGCTGAACGCGAAGGTGGGGTTATTACATACAGATATACAAGGAGGCAGGGTTATTACATACAGCTGAACCCAGATCGGGGTTATTACATACAGCTGAACAAGGAGGGAGGGTTAGGTAATCTAGCTAGGCGCACTCTCTGCAGGGGAGCAGCAGAGTGGTCTCTAATGGTAAACATCCAGGGAGGCTGTGGACAAAGTCATGGCGGACATTTTGGGCACACACAATCAATATTAGCTCTCAGA